CCTCGTCATGATATGTGAACTATGTGAAGATCGATCAGTGATGAAAACGTTAACATTTTTCCTTGATTAAAGCACTGGACGAGAACGTTTATATCTTCATCCAAGTCACTGTAGCTCTTATGATTACTCTGCCTGCTTTAGATTTGTTGACCTAACTGTAGCTTTGATGGTTACAGGATAACGTGTTAGCAAGTTGACATGGCCAATTTAAGCGTTCCTCACTTGTGTCTAAATTCGTATCACTTTGCCTTTCTTTCAGTCGAGGACAAGAAATAAAAAACTTCTCGAAAGCGAAAAACGTTTCCGGGTAAGTATCAGTACAGTGTAGATTTCGTCCGTAATCACGCCCATCAAAAAATATTGAAAAATAGCAAGTAACCCACGATAGCTGTCTGTCAACTTTTTGATTGTTAAGAGTAGAAAATTAAAAGGCTGGGGTTAACTTTTTCATGTTTGTGCTTTGATTTGATGATCGGTTGCTGCTGGTGTCTGCTTGATCACAGACATGGTTCTTTTGGTTTTCTTTGGCCAGTTCAGCGGGTAGAGGCAGGAAAACTTCGTTGAGGATAAAAAAGATTTAAAAAAGATAAAAAAAAGTTGTTGACGAACCGAATTCATTGGGCCCGAATTTTTTTTCTGGGAAGGGTAGTGTTGTGGTCAGCTTTATCGCTTAGATGACCTTGGTTCCCTTCTCCCATCCCTCAGCTCGACCGCCGCCTATGAATTGGCCTGTTTTCATCTTCTTTGTTGAACGGGACTTTTGGTGGCATAATCTATGAGTGGTTGTGAGAATCCCGATTATCAGATGAGAAAGTCAAATAGCTGTCTCTTTGGGTGGGGACGGTGGGAAATATTGCTTGTTGCAAGCTTTTATTTCGGCTGGCGAGAAGTACAGTTAGAAACCCACTTTCTTGATTTCCTTTGAGAAAGCAGTCGCGCGCGTGTCATAAGTTGACAACAGGGCGCTTATATGTACCTTTTCCCGCCGTGGTTGAAAACGTTTGCAGTTTCTGTGATACGTAGCGAGCTGTTGCCTGACGTAAATTTCCCTATCGGTGCGCGTACGCGCGCGAGGACTAAAACCGAGTGTGTATACTAAACAAACAAAACGACAATAAAAGACGGCTAAGTTACTTTTTGATTGCTATCCGCTTTTCAGGAGACTCTGCAACTCGTTAACAAGCTTACAAAGGAAAGACAGCAGAAATTAACACAAGAACCAGCCAAAGAACACGACACATCAGACCAAGACAAAATTACGTTTGTAGAGGCTTCACGCCCTCAGGGAGGGAGCTGATGGGATGTTAGACTGGCGTGTGCTTGTCTTTATGTCGAACATGTTTCAATCCAACGCAAGAAAAGAGATACGGTCGTGGCATTTTTGACCATTTT